AACGTGTTGATGGGACACCAAGTTCCCAGAGGTTTTATAACATTTTCCACAGTCTTGGCATTTAAAAGGTCTCTCATTAATGCGAGCTAGTTGATGGGACATCAGGTTCCGGGATGTTCTGAAGCATTTTCCACAGTCTGGGCTTTGAAATGGTCTCTTGTCAGTGTGAATGAGCTGGTGTTCCAGCAGACTAGATGACTGAGTGAATCCCTCCCTACACACTGAGCAGGTAAGTGGCCTGTTACTGGTGTGACTGCATCGATGAGTTTCCAGCTCAGATGCAGAAATGAATTCCTCCCCACAATCCCCACATTTCCACAGTTTCACCCCAGTGTGACTGCATTTGTGGTTTGTGAGGTCTGATGATTCGCTGAAGCCTTGTCCACACACACAACACGTATACAGTTTCTCTCCAGTGTGAATGGAGCTTTTTCCTTCCAGGTTTAAAATCTGATCATGTTCCATTTGTGATAAAATGGGTGACTCCATCAGATCCTGGTGTGATGGTGCGTTTGAAAATCTTCTCCTTCTAATATCCTGTGAAATTGACATCAAACAAAAAACAAGAGAGTCAGAGACAGAGACAATCTCTCACAAGACATTGGCTTCTGTGTGGAGATACAGAATGAAGGAGGGGGATTTTGGACACCTACAACTTGACCAGAACTCTGTCAGAATCTTTTAAACACTCAGCCTCCACCACTGAGAAGGGGCAGGGTAGCAGGTGGATGTGAACACCAACACCTCCAAGTTCCCTCCAGGTCACACACCATCCAAACTTTGCTGACATCCAGTCCTGGTGGAGCAGAAATTTCCTCCCATTAACTAACTGGCAAAACCGAGGCCTTCATCTTCATTCCCCAACACAAACTCTACTGCCTCACAACTGACTCTGAACCCTCTGTGGCAACTGCTGGAGTCTGAACCAAACAAGTCATAACCATGGTGAAATATTTCATCCAGAGATGAGTTTTCAACCACATATCCCTACCATCATTGAGACTGCCTACTTCCAACGCAGTAACATTACCCGACTCCTCCTAGTCTCTGCGCATTTGCTGCTGAAACTCTCGTCCATTCCTTTGTTACCTCTGGACTTAACTATCCTTACGCACTCCTCATCATCCTCTCACATTCCCCTCTCTGCACTTGTCTTACTTCTCTGCCTCTATTTTTGGGTGCCCTTGAGCTCTGTTTAGTGTTTTTTGCTTCCTTCCATTGACTGTATCTAAATGAGGTTTTGACCATTGCTCATTCTCCCAACCATGTGCTGCTGTCTTAACAGCTTTATCTTCCCACATCAGCTCTCACAATGCTCTAAGGGAAGGAGTTATAGGTTACTCATCAGGTGATGTAATCCTGAGGCCATCCAAAACTCTGCTGCCCGCATGAGTGTTCACAACAAGGTTTGTT